CCCTGACCAGAGTGCCTTCGATAGGAGGCAAGTTGGCAATCCTTAGGTCACTGGTTCGACTCAGGCTCGAAGGAGTTCATTTTCACGCGCAAACATTTCTTTGGCAGTGCTTCTCGACGAGGCCATCAGCACTTGATTTCGTTGTCCGCCATTTTGCAATCACGACCGCCGCTGGAGGGCAAAAGCTCATTCCCTGACCGGGAATCGAACCCGGGCCGCGGCGGTGAGAGCGCCGAATCCTAACCACTAGACCACCAGGGAAGGTCTGTTGAGTCCTTCCCCTCAAGCCCGGCTGTGGGACTCTACCACATTTCCCAGCAAGACCACTAGGGCTTGTATTTTCCTCCAGGAGAAAATTGACAGTCCAACAATAGGCTGCTTTGTCAGTGGGATTACGGTTACCATACAATACCATGCGTCTTTTCAAATGCATTGCATGAGTACTGTCACAAGGACCTTGCTTTACGACCAGTTTACAGTGTCTGTTATGCCAACGCAGGAATGGGAGGAAACTGAACCCCCTGGGCAAGGCAAATGAGAGCTCCCTCCGGTGAGGCTGATGAAATTGAATTCAGTAAACAATCCCTTCGGATCATTCCCATGTTCTTAAAGGGGGCGGTCACACACTAAAAGCCAAAAGGCCTGCTCAGGGCGGGAGGAAGATCCCATATGGTCTAGCAGTCAGGATTCCTAGTTTTCACCCAGGCGGCCCGGATTCGGCTCCCGGTATGGGAAGCTGGGTTTGCCTTTACTTCACTTATCGAAACAGCCAGCACGTCTGTCTGTGCTAGTAGCACTTTTAGCCAGCGGCGGAGCTTCAGCAACCTGATAGGTTGAGGTTCTGTCCCCAACCAGCGTGCCTTCGATAGCTCAGCTGGTAGAGCGGAGGACTGTAGGAGGCAAATTGGCAATCCTTAGGTCGCTGGTTCGACTCCGGCTCGAAGGAGTTCTTTTTCACATGCAAACATTTATTTGGCCGTGCTTCTCGGCGAGGAAATCAGCATTTGTTTTCGTAGTCCGCCATTTTGCAATCACGTCCGCCGCTGGAGGGCAAAAGCTCGTTCCCTGACCGGGAACCGAACCTGGGCCGCGGCGGTGAGAGCGCCAAATCCTAACAACTAGACAACCAGGGAAGGTCTGTTGAGCCCTTCCCCTCAAGCCCAGCTGTGGGACTCTATCACATTTCCCAGCAAGACCACTATGGCTTGTATTTTCCTCCAGGAGAGGAGACGTCTCTGACCCTGGATCCCAGTTCTTCCGCTGAGAAACTGTCACAGGCTCTGTAGGAATATCCTAACAACACCACAACTTGCCATGAAAACAAAGCAACCGAGATCCCCAATATGTGAAGCCTCCATCTCGAAGGTTTTTATAGCAGGCCCCTCATCGGACCCCTTCCTGACGTTGGCTCGAGGCCTGTTAATGGCATGAGAAAGAGTAGATGTCATGACAGGCCTCTGCCCAGTCGAACACCAACAGGTCCCGTGTAAGCTCAAGGACAGCTGATCGGTGGGCCAGTGGCGCAATGGATAACGCGTCTGACTACGGATCAGAAGATTCTAGGTTTGACTCCTGGCTGGCTCACTCTGCCTCTTTTGCTTCGCTGTCAGCCCATAGCCATTTTATTATTCCGTTTTATTAGCCCGTAGTTTTTGTTATTCTTATTATTGGATTGGTTGATTAATATTAAAAATTGACAGTCCAACAATAGGCTGCTTTGTCAGTGGGATTACGGTTACCATACAATACCATGCGTCTTTTCAAATGCATTGCATGAGTACTGTCACAAGGACCTTGCTTTACGACCAGTTTACAGTGTCTGTTATGCCAACGCAGGAATGGGAGGAAACTGAACCCCCTGGGCAAGGCAAATGAGAGCTCCCTCCGGTGAGCCTGATGAAATTGAATTCAGTAAACAATCCCTACGGATCATTCCCATGTTCTTAAAGGGGGCGGTCACACACTAAAAGCCAAAAGGCCTGCTCCAGGCGGGAGGAAGATCCCGTATGGTCTAGCGGCGGCCCGGGTTTGACTTCCGGTATGGGAAGCTGGGGTTGCCTTTGCTTCACTTATCGAAACAGCCAGCACGTCTGTCTGTGCTAGTAGCACTTTTAGCCAGCGGCGGAGCTTCAGCAACCTGATAGGTTGAGGTTCTGTCCTTGACCAGAGTGCCTTCGATAGGAGGCAAGTTGGCAATCCTTAGGTCACTGGTTCGACTCCGGCTCGAAGGAGTTCATTTTCACGCACAAACATTTCTTTGGCAGTGCTTCTCAACGAGGCCATCAGCACTTGATTTCGTTGTCCGCCATTTTGCAATCACGACCGCCGCTGGAGGGCAAAAGCTCATTCCCTGACCGGGAATCGAACCCGGGCTGCGGCGGTGAGAGCGCCGAATCCTAACCACTAGACCACCAGGGAAGGTCTGTTGAGTCCTTCCCCTCAAGCCCGGCTGTGGGACTCTACCACATTTCCCAGCAAGACCACTAGGGCTTGTATTTTCCTCCAGGAGAAAATTGACAGTCCAACAATAGGCTGCTTTGTCAGTGGGATTGCGGTTACCATACAATACCATGCGTCTTTTCAAATGCATTGCATGAGTACTGTCACAAGGACCTTGCTTTACGACCAGTTTACAGTGTCTGTTATGCCAACGCAGGAATGGGAGGAAACTGAACCCCCTGGGCAAGGCAAATGAGAGCTCCCTCCGGTGAGCCTGATGAAATTGAATTCAGTAAACAATCCCTTCTGATCATTCCCATGTTCTTAAAGGGGGCGGTCAAACACTAAAAGCCAAAAGGCCTGCTCCAGGCGGGAGGAAGATCCCATATGCTCTAGCAGTCAGGATTCCTAGTTTTCACCCAGGCTGCCCGGATTCGGCTCCCGGTATGGGAAGCTGGGTTTGCCTTTACTTCACTTATCGAAACAGCCAGCACGTCTGTCTGTGCTAGTAGCACTTTTAGCCAGCGGCGGAGCTTCAGCAACCTGATAGGTTGAGGTTTTGTCCCCAACCAGCGTGCCTTCGATAGCTCAGCTGGTAGAGCGGAGGACTGTAGGAGGCAAATTGGCAATCCTTAGGTCGCTGGTTCGACTCCGGCTCGAAGGAGTTCTTTTTCACATGCAAACATTTATTTGGCCGTGCTTCTCGACGAGGCCATCAGCGTTTGTTTTCGTAGTCCGCCATTTTGCAATCACGTCCGCCGCTGGAGGGCAAAAGCTCGTTCCCTGACCGGGAACCGAACCTGGGCCGCGGCGGTGAGAGCACCAAATCCTAACCACTAGACAACCAGGGAAGGTCTGTTGAGCCCTTCCCCTCAAGCCCGGCTGTGGGACTCTATCACATTTCCCAGCAAGACCACTATGGCTTGTATTTTCCTCCAGGAGAGGAGACGTCTCTGACTCTGGATCCCAGTTCTTCCGCTGAGAAACTGTCACAGGCTCTGTAGGAATATCCTAACAACACCACAACTTGCCATGAAAACAAAGCAACCGAGATCCCCAATATGTGAAGCCTCCATCTCAAAGGTTTTTATAGCAGGCCCCTCATCGGACCCCTTCCTGACGTTGGCTCGAGGCCTGTTAATGGCATGAGAAAGAGTAGATGTCATGACAGGCCTCTGCCCAGTCGAACACCAACAGGTCCCGTGTAAGCTCAAGGACACCTGATCGGTGGGCCAGTGGCGCTTCATGCCGCCTGTAAATCGTGGTTATTCTTGGTTATGACAGCCAATCACGTTCCCTGCTGCAACCAAGATTCGTACTATTCTTGGTTATGACAGCCAATCACGTTCCCTGCTGCAACCAAGATTCGTACGCTTATGGCCAATCGCGGCTCTCATCGCTACCATGATTCAGCCTAGTAACTAACCAAGAATTGACCAATAAACGTCAAGAGTCACCTCCCCCCCAGAGACTTGCGAATTGGGACCGGAGAAGAGGATAACATTCATTGATTAACTTCGGATCAAAATTCGCAAAGTAAGTCAGTCTTTTGTCAATAAAAGTGAAGTGCCAAATATATAGTTGTTTTATATGAATAACCTGTGTCTCAGACTAGCTAATAATTCAAGTAATTAATACAAAATATAATTAAAAAATGTATTTATAGATAAAGCGACCAAGCAGAACAAAGCATATAACGTTACAGTTTACTACAGCTTTACCAGTTGCAACATTAAAATGATTGTTACACACTAAGGCATCACTAATTATAATTCAATTACTGTAATATAGTGTACATTATGCTTCTACTTTTAGTACTTTTACTATATTTTGATGCTAAACTAACTTGTTTTAGCTAACGTTAAGTAGGCTAACATTTTGAATGCATTGCATTTAACTGTTACTTGTAATAGAGCAAAGGATTTAAAAGAGGGGAAAGTAGTGGTATAACAATGGTATAATAATGGTATAATAATTATTGAAAAAATGACCTCTTACTCTGGGATCATTCTGAGATTCTGATATGTAAATCAACATTTTAAGCCTGTTAGAAAAATATAGACACACAAAGCATAATATATAATCAATATTACAAGGTAGAAAAATATAGACACACAAAGCATAATATATAATCAACATTACAAGGTAGAAAAATATAGACACACAAAGCATAATATATAATCAACATTACAAGGTAGAAAAATATAGACACACAAAGCATAATATATAATCAACATTACAAGGTAGAAAAATATAGACACACAAAGCATAATATATAATCAACATTACAAGGTAGAAAAATATAGACACACAAAGCATAATATATAATCAACATTACAAGGTAGAAAAATATAGACACACAAAGCATAATATATAATCAACATTACAAGGTAGAAAAATATAGACACACAAAGCATAATATATAATCAACATTACAAGGTGATCATGAGTAAATATAGTAATGTAATATGCACGGCTGTATTAACTAATGTGTTACCAAATGTGTTTGTCTGTTTCTTTCTCTAAAGTCTTTATATCTTCAAACTTTTTTATTTATTTAGATGGAACCTCGCTTCAGGAGACGAGCTGATGGCAGCCTGAATCTGACTGATACAATGGAAGCGGCAAAGGTGAAGGAGGCCAACAAAGGAAAGCCGTACACAAGACCCCTGTCCCCTGACATAGTGCTGGACAAGGCCAAGAAAAGCTTAAGTCAGCACCACGGAGATCTAGCTAACAGAAAGCACCTGCTGGGTTTCTTTGAAATCCAGTTTGGTGTATTTCGAGGGCAAACATTCAAGTGGGTGGCTGAAAATGCCCTGGGGAATGCAGCTTACTTGGTGGCAGCTATGAAGAGGGACCCCACAGGAGGCAGCAAAGACTCCCAAGAACATGCCCACAACAAAGAGAGTTTCAGGGAGTATTTTGAGCTTTTTCCTTCTGGCAGAATTGCCATTGCCATGAAGGAAGAGCAATATGCTGGGAAAGCTCTCCAGCACGCTGCCACCACCCAGCACGCTACCTCCACCCAGCATGCTACCACCAGCCAGCACACTACCACCACCCAGCACGCTGCCACCACCCAGCACGCTATCACCACCCAACACGCTGCCTCCACCCAGCACGCTACCATCACCTCCCAGCACGCTGCCTCAACCCAGCACGCTACAACCACCACCCAGCACGCTGCCTCCACCCATACTTCCACCGCCTCTCTCCGCTCCCTCTTGTTTAGGAAGTTGCCTAACCAGAAAAGCCTGACCAAGACCATTGAAAGGCTGGTTTCCCCCGTCAAATCCACACCTTGTAAGCAAACATTTATTTGTATAACACTTTTTTGGTGTGTTTAGTATTTATTGCTTTGTAGGATTTTAGGATTTATTGTTCTGTAGTCATGTTTATCTGTTCTGTGTTTTGTTTTGAAGCTTTGGCCCAGGCACGTACGCGGCCCTCAGCCACCCTCACTCGCCCGACTGTGTCCATTGAGGCAGCCACAGGGACCTCAGCCACCCTCACTCGCCCGACTGTGTCCATTGAGGCAGCCACAGGGACCTCAGCTATCCTCACTCGCCCGACTGTGTCCATTGAGATAGATGACAGCACACTGCTGGCAGAGGCAACTAAGTTTGAGATGGCACATCTGGCATGTACGTTTATACTTATTTAAAATATGCAACAAAATATTCAAGTTCCATTCCAGGGATAAAAAAGTTAAGGGAAGTTATTGTGAATTTGCATTTGTTGTATTTATTACATTTTTTGTTTTTTTCCCCAGCACAACGAGTCTGTCTTCCATCTGGATGGATACACACTCTGCCTGAAGTGGATCAGAGGTGGATTTCCAAGGCCCTGTTCAGGTGGACAGCACAGGGCCATCCTGAGCTGATCTTTAGCAGGGTGGACAAACTTTGGTGGTATCCTCCACAGGTTCCACTGAAGACCAGTAATTGCCCTCCCTTAGAGAACTACTTTGGCCATCCCCTGCTGCTCTGGATGCCACGAAAACTGTGGCAAGTGAAGCTGACCTGTCCACATCCAGACTGTCAGAAAGACCTTCTGACCTCAGCTGGCTTGCATCAAAAGATCAGGCAGGTGTTTGCCTTGGGTAAGATATACTTTGTGGCATCTGAGTACCTGGCCTGCCGAAGATGTAAGAGGAAGGTCATCAGCTGGAGCCATGATATCGTCTCCCAGCTCGACATTGGCCACAGGGTGCAGTTCCCTTGCATTCTTACATCAAAACTTGCATGTGACGTCGAGGTAGTATGTTTGATGCGTCAGCGAGGGCTGGGAAACAGCAGCAGCCAGATCCAGCGCAAGCTGCAGGAACGTCATACTGAGGTGTGGTTGCAAAAGACAGTCCAGTATCTGACAGATTGCAAGGGGATTGCCAGTGCTGTCACTTCGAGCCTGATCCTGCCTGTGACATTTGAATCTGCTCCTTCAATGCCTTCTGTCCCTAAGCATCGGTGGCTGATGCAGGTGTACGCCCAGGATGTCCTGCAAAGGCTGGATGAGATCAAGGCCACTATCACATCGCAATATGGTCGGATCTTAAAATTGGATTCAACAAAAAAAGTGGCCAGAAAACTAGCTGGACGCAGCCATGGCACTGCTACCTGGGCAACCAATGTTGGCAATGAGCACGGACAGGTGATCATGTCCGTGCTCACAGCCAGTGAAGGTTTTGGTCTCGGGCCAATGATTGAAGGCCTCATTAAAAGATACAGAGTGGCTGGGGTGGCTCCTCCCGAGATACTGTACGTCGACCGAGACTGCTGTGGCAACACTCTTCTGAGAAGAATGTTTGAAGAGTGGGAGCAAATGATCATCCGTTTGGATGTATGGCACTTCATGCGGAGGTTTGCTGTGGGTTGCACCACTGACTCTCATCAGTTGTATGCCACATTTATGAGTCGCCTCAGCCACTGTATTTTCATGTGGGACCAGGTTGACCTGACGGCCCTGAAGAAGGCAAAGCATGCAGAGCTAGAAGCTAACTGGAAACCTACATCCGAGGCTGATGTGCTGCGCAGTATCAGCCGTAACGAGCTAGCCCTACATTGCAGGAGAACCACTCGCGGGACCAAGGACACCCTGGCGCTGATTGAGAGCCATATTCAGGCCTTTGATGGAGATGCTGGTCGTGACACTATGGGAGTCCCACTAATAAACTCAGCCCGGATGAGAGAGATATTGAAGTCCCAGCGGAAGCATGTGGCCTGCATCCAGGATCCTGTTGGTGTGCAGCTCTACATGCAGACGGGCACTGTAGTGAAGGGAGGGCACCGTCTGCCAACCTACCGCTGTGCCAGAGGTTCCACTTCGCTTGAGTCATTTCACCTGCACCTTAACAGATTCATCCCAGGTAAATAAGTGACTTAACTGAATTATTAAAATAAGATTTGATTTAATTATATATTAAAATAACTATGGGAACAGCTATTTGTGTATCCATATGACATTTTTGTGTGGTCTTATTTTTATTTTTTTAATTTACAGGTACGCTGGCGAGTGACACCTTCTTCCAGGCGTATCTTTTGGATGGACTTGCAAGGTGGAATGAGGACCGGGCTGTGGCAGCAACAACTGATGAGCAGCAGCCCCATTCCTACAATCATCTTCTGCGTCATGCTGTCAATACTCTTGCAGAGGAGGTTATGGGCAAGAAAATCATCCCTTATGTTGGGCCAAGAAAGTACACTGGTAGATAACTATTTGTTGTTTTTGGTCACATTTTTTTTTAAGTGTACACATACCATTTAACCTCTGAATTATAATATAATATCCTGGTATATTATCTAATTTTCAATGTTTTAATATTTTAAAGGTGAGCTTATTGGAGTGGAATACCTTTACCAGCAAACTGGTAAAGTTCTGCAGGACTACAAGTTGGCCATTGAAGAGTCCGAGACCACTGAGGTTGGTATAGAAGTGGATGAAGGTTATGCTGAACTTGAGGAGTTTCAGGACATCACTGTCCCCACCTTTGACACAGAACGGACACCTGTTGCCTCTTCACAAGCATCAGTGTCTGCAGCATCATCTCCAACCCCTCCTGTCACCAGCTCCATTTCATCATTGTCTGTGGTTCCTCCATCACCAGTGACATCTCCTGTCACCAGCTCCATTTCATCATTGTCTGTGGTTCCTCCATCACCAGTGACATCTGTCACCTGCTCCATTTCATCATCGTCTGTGGTTCCTCCATCACCAGTGACATCTGTCACCTGCTCCATTTCATCATCGTCTGTGGTTCCTCCATCACCAGTGACATCTGTCACCTGCTCCATTTCATCATTGTCTGTGGTCCCTCCGTCTTCTGTCACCAGCCCACTGCACAGTCATTCAAAGCCAGGACTCTTTCCTGGAGCACATAGCTGTGAGTTTACCAAAGTATCTATATAGAGTTATTGTGACAACAATTATCACCACCTCTATGTATATATGTCTTATTGAAAGGCAAAAATACAAATTTAAACTGAATGTTTGCCTTTTTCATGTAGTTCCAGTGGACCAATTATCAGCTGAAACTGGTCTTCTGACATCTGAAGAGAACACTTCACATGATGTAAGGGCCCAGTGTACATTTACGTCTGTAAACAAAATCTTAGTTATGTTTGCTGTGCTTTCATGTAAATATTTGTATTCATTGCTGCTATCAAAAGTTCCTTAATTATCTTTTATTTTAGGATTCTGTTGGACCTGATAATATTGGGGGGTATGGAGCCGTGCAGGACTTGGCAGAGTTCTTGGTTAGCCTCAGAGACCACCGTCTGGCCTTGACTGGAGAAGAGTGCGTCAAGATCATCACCCTATGGCAGGCATTGGGGGAGTATGACAAGAGGAAAACCATTTACCCACGACGTCACCAAACCTCCCTAAAACAGGGACGATTCAGAGCCACTAAGAAGATTGTGGCACCAGGTGTGGAGAGCACCAAAAGGTATGTTAAATTTAGCAAACACAGGTTCTTGATTGTCTTAAATTTTGTATAAAACAAACCACAAAACATAACTATGCACAGATATTAAAAATTAGACAAAACAGACAGATTAGAAAAGGGGGAAAAAAACAAGAAAAATAACAGAGTAAGATCACACATTGAAATGAATATGTATTCTGCTGTAATTTGCAGGTGTTTCGTTGGGGCTCATAGTCCTGCACAGTGGCCTAGCTGCAACCGAGTGGTGGAGGCCATCTTCACAAGGCTCTGTGCCCTCTATCCAAACGTGGTGCGGTGTGATGGAGTGAGGGTGTCCCGCTTCACAATGGTGGTGCGTGCCTACAAGCACATCCGAGAGTGCATCCTCAACAATGCTAAGGTGATGAGCGAGACCACCATCCAGCTCCCAGAAGTTAACACTGCAACAGTCACACAATGGTGAGTAAATTAGCATTGTTCCAGCTAAGCATAAATTGAAGTGCCACACAAAGCGTTAAAGTCTTTTATGTGGTTGTCTTAAAGTTTTTTTTTCAATCGCCAACAAGCGCTTACCCATACTTCAGATACTTTTTCGAAACTCTTAACACAGACTCACACCAACAAAACACAATTGGCCAAATGGATGATTTTCTTCTCAAAAACACATTTTGTTAAATATATACTAACTTTCAAAATAGAACACATCTTTCTCTACACACTAAATTTCCCAAAACACTGGAAATCTGAAAATGAAATTATTCTGTCAAAGAATAACACTTGTTTTCATTTCACAAGGTACATGCAGTCAATCAAAGTACACCAGGTTTCAAAATAATGGCTATTGTTGACATTACAAAAACTACATAGACTTTTATGTGTCAGTTTTACAGGTATTTGCATGCAAAAAATGCAATCCCCCATTTTTACACTAAATTTCTTGGTTGGGACTTTTATGTCCACATTTACCGTACTGTTCACATTCAAAAGCATTCCAGTAAAAAGCAAATCAGTTTTTTTCACCTCTCTCTGCACCTTCACCTCTCACTGCACCTCTCACTGCATCACTCACTGCATCTCTCACTGCATCTCTCACTGCATCTCTCACTGCATCACTCACTGCATCTCTCACTGCATCTCTCACTGCATCACTCACTGCATCTCTCACTGCATCTCTCACTGCATCTCTCACTGCATCTCTCACTGCATCACTCACTGCATCTCTCACTGCATCTCTCACTGCATCACTCACTGCATCACTCACTGCATCTCTCACTGCATCTCTCACTGCATCACTCACTGCATCTCTCACTGCATCACTCACTGCATCTCTCACTGCATCACTCACTGCATCTCTCACTGCATCTCTCACTGCATCACTCACTGCACCTCTCACTGCATCACTCACTGCATCACTCACTGCATCTCTCACTGCATCTCTCACTGCATCACTCACTGCATCTCTCACTGCATCTCTCACTGCATCTCTCACTGCATCACTCACTGCACCTCTCACTGCATCTCTCACTGCATCACTCACTGCATCTCTCACTGCATCTCTCACTGCATCACTCACTGCATCTCTCACTGCATCTCTCACTGCATCTCTCACTGCATCACTCACTGCACCTCTCACTGCATCACTCACTGCATCTCTCACTGCATCACTCACTGCATCACTCACTGCACCTCTCACTGCATCACTCACTGCATCTCTCACTGCATCTCTCACTGCATCTCTCACTGCATCTCTCACTGCATCACTCACTGCATCACTCACTGCATCTCTCACTGCATCTCTCACTGCATCACTCACTGCATCTCTCACTGCATCTCTCACTGCATCACTCACTGCATCACTCACTGCATCACTCACTGCATCTCTCACTGCATCACTCACTGCATCACTCACTGCATCACTCACTGCATCTCTCACTGCATCTCTCACTGCATCACTCACTGCATCACTCACTGCATCTCTCACTGCATCTCTCACTGCATCACTCACTGCATCTCTCACTGCATCTCTCACTGCATCACTCACTGCATCTCTCACTGCATCTCTCACTGCATCTCTCACTGCATCACTCACTGCACCTCTCACTGCATCTCTCACTGCATCTCTCACTGCATCACTCACTGCATCTCTCACTGCATCACTCACTGCATCTCTCACTGCATCTCTCACTGCATCACTCACTGCATCTCTCACTGCATCTCTCACTGCATCTCTCACTGCATCACTCACTGCATCTCTCACTGCATCTCTCACTGCATCTCTCACTGCACCTCTCACTGCATCTCTCACTGCATCTCTCACTGCATCTCTCACTACATGGGGTCAATTATTATTATTTTTTTTATTATTATCAGCTGAGATATATTGTTTTTGAACTTATCATTGCAGAAGCAGAGGTTTTTATAATATATCTAAGGTTTGGAATATTGTTTTTGCTATTGTGGGATGGTGTGTGTTACTGTAACATTTGTAAATACTACAAAAACAATCCATAATTTTGTTGGGAGGTATTGCTTGTCTGTTAAGAGAATGTAAGCATTGTGGAAATGTGTTCACTGACTGCATATTGTGTGAAAACGACATAACGTGTGAATGGTATGGCCACAAAAGATCGATGCTGTGCTAATTGTGTTTAGAGTTTTGAAAATGTGACAACTGTTTGGACAAATACTTGTTAGCGACTGAAAAAAACTGTAATATAGCTATGGCTGCTTTGACTTGTTGGCTAGAAACAAATCAACAAGAGTCCAACTTCTGCTTTCTTCTCCATTATGAAAAATAAGATTTATTGCTCACGACATGGTCTTCAACAGACTGCAAGAATCAATAATCAGTACAACGTATCTCCATTAACAGCTTTCCAACACACAAACGAACAGCTACTACCGTACCAGCGGCATTTTACTAAAGCAATGATACACGAGACAAGGGTGAGATCAATTGCTCTGTGATCTCAGCTGTGTCTTGCTGTTGCATCATAGTCATGATCAAACAGTAGTTGAACATACCATCTTTTGTATTACTGCTTAAATGTTTATTCAAATTGGTTGCTTTATGTTTTCCCAGGTACAGCAGGCGTTGTAAGTCACAGGAACAGGAGATATTGAAACAGGGTCTCCAAGCCCCTGAAGCACCCATGGCAGGACCTGAGAACCTTCCTGCTGCTATGCAGAGAGGACCGACTCTCTGTTCCAGCAATTTGTCAGAGCCACACCTTTTTATCCTGCCACCAAATACTGCTGGGGAGGCTAAACTCAAAGGGAGGTTGCAACCTCAGGCCATCTTCCAGGCTCCACCATCACATCAAAGACTTCCTGTCATTGCACCAGCACCAACTGTCTCTCTCCCTTTCATTTTACCACCTGTGCAGCTTCCTACAGTTCCTGGTAGCTCACAGGTGATGTTCTTCAACCTCCCATTACCTTCAGCTATGCCACCATCAGCTCAGACACAGACATCCAGTCAACCGGTTCCTTACTCCACTCAGCAATATAGAAAGAGAAAACAGAAGAGGGAGAGCGCTGGAACAGTGACAAGAAAGTATGTTAGGAAGACAGACGTCATTCTTTGCAGAAAGTGCTGTGGTGGCAATTTTAATGATATTCATTGATCTTTAGTTAAATATAGATGATTCAAAGAATGTCACATGTGTGTCTCTCACTTGTAGTGAGAGAAGATTCTGTTTATGTACCTGGGGAGGCAGAAGAGGGAGACACTCCAGAGAACAGACGAACAAGGACCTCTGACCTAGATGTCAGAAGGCCATTTGGTGCAGGGGAGCTTAGTGGGCCAACTAGTGACGTCTATGGAAAACTACTGGGAGGAAGGCTCTGGGGGGAAGAAGGCCTTGAAACTAAGATAAAAGCTAGTTCAGTCTGTCTGGGGGTGTGTCACTCTTCTGCACAGGGTAACAACTGTGTATTAGACTGCTCCTATTCTTGCAAGAATAAATACTTCTATTTTATATAATTTGACTCTGAGTGTCTCTTACGCAGTGATGTTTGTTAGAGATGAATTTTTGCCACAACAGATTGGTGTCAGAATAGTGGGATTCCTTGGAAGTGCCTTCTGGATCTGAGAGCGGACGGTGTTTGGCCACCTGGACTGAGCAGTTCCAGCTCTACCTCGTAAATTTCAGAGAGAGGGGCCGACCGCTATCAGGGCCAGGAGAAACTCCACTGGAATCAATTGAAAGAACCCGGTGGCAACAGAAGCATCTCTGGTAAGAGACAGTTCAATTTATTTTCTTTTGGGTAAGTTAATTAAATTCAGTTTAATTGGGGAGAAGAGTGAAATTGAACCATATTGGCTGAAGGCTGTTTCTGTGGTACGTGATCTGAGATTAATTGAGGTCTGTAACAGAACAAGAAATTTCAAGCAGATAAATAATCTGGGATTAAGTGAGAACTGTGACAGATCAAGAGATTTCAAACAGATAGGTAACCTGAAAATGAGTTGTTCCACCACGGAGCAAATTGTTTTTAGGTGCTGAGGCTAATTAGGGGGAACCAGAACAGTTGTTTTTGGTAAACCATAATTAGGAGGGCACTAATAGTGCAACCCGACCGATTTGGGTTAAAAGAAAGAATCGGGTCTGTTGGGGACGCCTAACAGATTAGAGAAAACGCGCGTTGAAGAGAAATCCACAGGGAACAGAAAACAGCCAGTATGGGAAAATCTCAGAGTAAGCATGCCAAATTTGACACACCGGTTTTCTGTAGAACTAGGAAAGTATGGGGGGAAATGTATGTTTTAGATATTGAAAAAAACTGAGAAAATACCATGATTTCCCCAGGGAGGGAACACTGAGCACAAATAGACTAAGAGTGTGCGAGAATCAGTGGAACAGGGCAGCGGGACAAAAGGTTGTTGTGGCTGCGTTCAACATGTGTGTAAAAAATGTGAACAGATAATGGATTGTTGGCTTGAAGATAAAATGTCGAACTGCCAGGAGAAATAATGTTTTTACTTCTTCATCCAGTAAATGGATGCATGACATTAGATGTCTATAGAACTTAAATTTATATGACAAGGATTGAAGTAGCAAGAAGCAATAAGGCTGTCTGTGTGAAATAGAGGGAACTGTAAGTGAGACTTGGTGGAAGAGGGAAGTGAAAAAAACAAAAGGTTGGTGTGTGAGACATGTGTGTGTGGGGATTGTGCAAACAATCATGTACTGGTTAGATAATGAAGGAACTGGCATGTTTGAGAAAAGAAAGGAGAGGATAATGAAGGAACTGGCATGTAGGGAAAAGAAAGGAGAAATATAGTAGAAAACTATATGTGATGAAAATAGACATAGTCTGACAGAATTTATGGAAGTCAAATTAACTGTTTAAATGATATGAAAAGTTTTAGAATAAAATAAGGCATTGTATGATTGACAGGGATTAACATGATATGAAGAATGTTTTAAGCAGAATGGGGAACAATTCTAGATTTTGATAAAATAATGATTGAAATGATGATATATCTGCTTTATTTTATTAATGTTAAGAAAATAAGGGTATTGAAGCAAGTAGCTATAATGGTTGTCTGTGTAATTTACGAACTGAGTAATATAATCTGTTTTGGAGAAACAGTAGAGATAAGACTGAGACAATAATGATAATATTAAGTTGAATCTGCAGACTAACCATGTGATGGAAGGAAAAAGGCTTCAAACCAGTTGTAATGAAAATAATGATGTACAAATTGTTACACTTAAGAGTAACGGAACAGTCCGGGAAAATAAATAAATAAATAAATAGTGAGACAGAAGAGAGCAAATGCTGTAAACAGCTCTGCTCTGAAGATCTCACTTTGAAGAGATTTGCAGATGATGTTTTGTAAAAGATAAGCTGGGATAACAGCAACAGTACTTGTAATTAGTGTTGTTGATGATAATACCAAATTAGTAAGGTAAAGACAGAAAACAAATTTGAATATTTTGAGCATTTTCTGTGCTGCTCATGAAATTATGTTCTGCCAATAATAATGATGAAGAGTATGATTTGGCTATTGTGATTGAATCCGCCATTGGTGGATGGTCAAAGGAATACAGAGAACTGCTTATCAGTGGGTCTGTTTACATTCCTGAATGGGACACACACTGCTTCAAGGGTGTGCAGTTAGTTGGAGCCGTTTGCAAGCTCACAGTGATCAAACTATAGTCAAGGACAGGTGTCTGATGCTGAAGTTGAGGCTGAAACAAATTCACAAGATGACAGAGAGTGTTTTAATGGTGGTCATCAGGACCATTTAATAGGTAACTGTAAATGACCACCAAGAAGGTGTTTAAAAATGTGATAAAATGACAACACATTTCTGGTAATAATATTGGTTTGAAAATAGATCAGTGTTTAAATGACGACAGTGACAATTTTTGGTCTGAGAAATAAGAGATAAAAAACAAGGTCAAAAGATTGAAGTCTTAAAGTGAATCCTTTTGTCACTCCAACAAATGTGAGTTGCAAAATATGTAAAGGTAATATAGAGAGACAGATCTCAAAGATGATTTATAATAACTGCAAAAGATGCAGAGTAGCCTTGTCAAAGTTAGTGTGAATCCTGATTGGAGACTGATAAACTCCTAGAAGAGAAAACTTTGAAGTCAGAGATTAAACTATGGTAATTGAGATTGAGAAATGTGAAACGTTATTGAGAACTAGAATAATTACCATTATGTAAGAACAAATAAGCAGAAGCAGTAGGCTACTGAAATTAACAGTTGCTAAATGTAAAATGTGTTGAAAGGCATCTGATTAAACAAACAGCTTGAAAAGTTGACCATGAAAGAACTAGAAGCTGATGTTTTGTTTTCAAAAGATAAGTTTGTTATTGGCTGTAATGAAACAGTTCGCTTATCTAAAATCTGATGTGTGCTGTGCCTGAAACTGCCAGTGCGACAGAGACTCAATCTGAGTGGAAATTTGTAATGTCTAAATTCCCTGAGGTGGGCAAAAGACAAATATAAATAATATGTTTATTTAAAACCGTATGTAATTTCTGGCAAAGATGCCTTCAGCTGGGATAGAGTTAAAAGATGATAGATAAAAGTTTGATGTTAGAAGTATATGAGAGAGCAGTGAACCATCCAATAGAGTCTCAGAGTCTCTCTCATTCAATGAGTGATAATAAGTAAAGCACAGTGTTTCAGTTGAAGGATCATAGACACAGAGATGTTTTAAAAATAAAACTGAATGACTTTAAAGAAGTATTTAAAATAATAATACAGATAGATATGACATTTTGATTAGCTTATTGTAGGACCAGTAACTTCTTTGTCTCATTTAGTCTCCACCATTCAGGACCGATGGCTCCGGCTACAGATGAAGTACACTGAATGTACGGTTGTGATCTAAATTCACTGAGTATAATCTAAGCAGCTAGGTTTCTGCTTTTAAGATGGTTAATGGATTTAAGTGATTAAATACTGCTGTTATTAACCTGTCTCCCTGTGTGAACACTATTAGGCAATCGGAATGGCTCTGGTGACTCTTGAACGTGCCTTTCTAAGCTCCAGAAAACAGCTGAGTTCTGTTGAAGCAAACAGTCTGTGATGGAAAAGAGCGGGTACCAGTTGTGCACGAGGTGATTTCTCGACGACGGGTAAGCCCTTCTTTGGCCAGACAGAGGGCAACCTAAGACAGAGAGTCACCGCAGACACTGGGCATCTCGAGATGGAGGTGTTTATGTGAGAAAGGTATGAGAGTGGAGCGGATGACTGTGAGGCCAGCAGCATCCTTTATCTTTAGGGCGGATGAGCTGTGAGGAGTTACAGGCAGTCTGACCCAGAAACGTGAGTGTTCCTCTATACCAATCACCAGAAACCGCATTCATTGTATGGCTTGTTTTTCATTGTCTGCAAATATGCCAGGGGAAAACACCCTGATGGAGATTATAGATAAAGGGCTAACAGAAATGGGCTTTCAAGGGCCAGCTGAGACCATGAGGGGATTGCCATTAGTTGTTGTGGAGACAGTAGGGATGTAACGATTCACTCATCTCACGATGCGATACGATTCACGATACTGGTTTCACGATACGATTTTCTCACGATTTTTTTAACAAATGCGATTTAAGACAAAAGTGTCCCTTTTATTATTTCTCAGACAAAATGCTGCACATTTCTTTTTAATTTAAAATATATTTCTCAAATAATAAAACTACATTAAAAAAATTCCCTTCAAGGTTGTTTCAACTCAGTCTTTCTGTCTGTTTGGTCAAGAGGCTGGACACTGGTACCTTCGCACACTATGTAAAAGACTGTGTAAAATTAGTAGTACCAGATTGACAGGGGTTTTACATTGTAATAAAGGCAAGATTCTAATTTTGTTATAATTTGTATCATTACACTAGTAAGAGTAAAAAAAAAAACACATTTAGAGAAAGAGATAGTAAAATAAATACAACACCTGGTTGCCACGGAAACACTGATGCACCTTGTGATCTCCGTGGCTCTCGCAATTGTAGTATTAATGACTTTTACATGAAAACGGAGGTGACTGGTGTTACTCACGGTGGTGATTATTATTAGTCTACGGAAAGTCAAAATGCCGCCACACCTCCGATTTGAATGAGTCAACGTCAACATCTACGCTTGCCGTCGCCAAAGCCATGTCTACTGTTTGACGGCACGTGCACAGCAGTCTATGGCACACACTGGTGCGGCGCGAGCGGAGCAAACCGAGCGTTTTCAGTTCATTCCTATGGAAGTTGAGCTTGGCTCACACAAGATCAAGTTCCATGAATGAAGTGAAAACACTCGCTAGCTTCACGCCAGTGTGTGCTCGCTGCTATTGTGCTATTGTAAAGCGAGGTTCACAACTTCACAGTAGGCTATAGTAAACGCGCCCTGCTGTTTAAAACGTGTATCGCGATTCGTTTAACATTTCAACCGACTTGAATCGTCACACATTTTTATCGATTTTCAACCGGTTGCGAGTGAATCGTTACATCCCTAGGAGACAGTAGCAAAACTTTTTATGTACTGGTTGCCTTATGGGCGAGGAAAATCATAGTGTTGATTTTGAACTAATGGGTCTATGACATAGTTTTAACTCTTGAAGGTCGTTAGACATGGTGGTGGCTAAAGAT